ATTTTTTAATTTTTTTTTTTTTTTTTTTTTAATTGCTCCAAAGAGGTGTTGGAGAAGACACACACAAGTAGATTTTGTTTTCAGGCTCGTCAGTTCTAATGATTGTTTTGATAATATGGTTCAGTGGAGTTTTAGCTTATTTGAATAAGCTAAAAGAGAGAATGAATCCGTTTGTTTTACTCTGGAATTGTTTATGCATGAAAATAGCTTTGCTAGCATGGAAACAAAACCAACTCTCATTTGGACAGAAACCTTTTGTGGTAAAGGCAAAACTGACTGAGAGTGAGTGAAGGTGCCTCCGATGTGTCATCCGGAGCACAAAGGTTGGCAACGAGGCATAAACACCGTGCTGAGGCTCCGAATGCCTTTTCTGCTAACTGGGGACTCAAGAAAAAACACTTCCAAAGCAGGACTTACCCAAAGCTCTCAAGAGTACAGCCAGCAAAGTAGTCCTTCAGGCTGCTAGTTCTGAATACATCAAGCTGATGGGAAGAAAGAAAAACAATTGAGGAAAAATGGGTAAATTTAATGCATCCTTAATTTGGGCAGGGAATTCAAGCTAGTGCTGTTAGGTTTACCTCTTTCTCAATTTTCTCTTTGTTCACTTGGTACATCTGTGACCTGGGGTCCTGCAGTTCTGGGGAGTAGGGGAGGTTGGAGATTCTGAAATTTAATCTGAAGTTTTCTTGCCCAGACTTGAGGGGTGTTTGGTAAGTTGCTGCCTCAACTGCTAGTTCCAAGCCTGGAAATTGAGAGGAAAAGTCAGGATAAATTCTAGCAGAGAGGAACAGAGGTCCTTCTAACAAGCAGCACTGACCTGCAGACTTTTAGCTAGGAAAACTTGAAGTCTTAATAGATTAACAGAAATTTGAGTTGCACTAGGATCCGACAGCAAATTCCCAGTCTACCCTTTCGATCAGTCCTTCAGCAAAAGGAGGCCACTCATCTCCTTGGGAAGTTGTACATTTGAAAAAAAGCTAAAAGTCTGTTTATCTCTAAATGCTTGAAGTTACAGTGAGTAGTTACCACTTCATTTTCTTATTATTTAATACTGAGTAACACCTTAAGTCACTGAGGACTAAAGGGCTACACTGAGCCAGACTGAACGTGGCAAAGGACTGTCCCAGCTCTGACCTGAGTGATTCAACTTGATAACAGATTTATTTCCACACACACATCCCCTCTGATAGACCAGAGGTTGGGGAATTCTGAGTACGCCATAGCAAAGATCTGCGTGGAAACCGGGCAGCTGTGATTTGAGCTCTACATACTGTCGACGGAGAATCCCTGCAGCTGGTAACTGCTTCCCAGCCACAGTCCGGTTGCATTTGAAGTCCCATCCTGAAAGGCCCGTTCAACCGCAGCCTGGTTGATGCTGGGCTCTGGCTGGAAGAAGCACTTGCAGTCAACCACTATGGAGCCAGCCCTGTGGACAGAGAAACAGAGGTTCTGAGATAAACAGGCTGATGATCATAAAACTTCTTCATGTGGGAAATTTTCCTGAGGGTTTCCTGCTATTCTGAGCGTTGTTTTAAGCTGATGTGGTGCTATTGAGATGTAGAACAGGCTGGTTTGGACTTTTCCTTTGGACAGGGACATGAAATACCACTAGGTTATACTGCACGCATACAGTGACGGATCAGCACTTAAAAAAAAAAAAAAAAAATAGCTTTTGCCCCGTGTGAGGGTCCCTTGTCCGAGCCTCTTTTCATCTGGAGTAGGACACTACTGAAGCCCACATTTAAAACTCGGTGGAGTCCAAGTCAAGAGGAGGAGTGCAGAGGTTGCAGGGTCACCAGCAGTCCTCATTAAGAGGATGGCAACGAGTAATTACGGGGCTATTCAGAGACCTAAGGGTGCCTTACAGAAATCCTGCCTGAGACTGAGGAAAATGTCAGTCCATACTAGGTCGGAAAATATTCAAACTGATGAATTCTGGGAAACCGAGAAGTGGCCTCTTAAGGCATAAACTAAACCATTTCCAAGATGTGAATGGGGAGGAGGAATTCTGCAGGAGACAACGACACTTGGCCACTGGGGAACGGTGCCGGGGTGGGGCAGCCCTTCAAACAAAACCAGATTGTGATCACAGACCTCAGCCTTGTGACGCTGCAGTTCAGGAACTGGTCTCGCAGGTTGCTCTGAAGGTACAGTTGATTCATCTGAAATAAAAATGTCATGTTAAATATTAATGAGTTCTGGAGCTCCTAGTAGATGCTTCAGGGCAGCAGGAGGGCTTCTAACTTTGGAGAAACACCAGACTTTTTTTTTTTTTTCCCCTAGTTGAGGAAGTTGGTTTTTACTTCAGAATGTGCCTTCTGGTGATGAAGTCTGACTTCCATCTTGGCAAGCCTTTCTTATCTGAGCAAGCTGCCAGTGATAAACAGCACAATCTGCTGACTGACAGCTGTCATCTTGGTCCACATTTCAGAGACAGCGCAGACTCGGAACTCGAATTGCGGAACGTTACGGCTTCATCTAAAAATCAAACCCCACCCAATTAGGGCTTTAGTGGGTTGATACGTTGGCGGATTGGTGCTGAAGAGGACGCGTTGCATTCTCAGCAGTGAATTACGATGTGCTGACCTCCGAGCTGGCAGAGATGTGTGCACACTTCCAGCGATGGACTGAAATGCCGAGTGACTGCATTTAACCGATGACCTAAACCTCTTGCATTTTGCAGCGCATGTCTTTGGCTGGAGATAATTTTTAAAGGCCACATGTAACATAGCAAAATCTAAAGTGATTCAAAGGACAATCTCATCTTTTAGAGCAGAAATTTTTGTTTCCAAATGTTGATTTTTTAATTTTTTTTTTTTTTTTTTTTAATTAAGGCATAAATCTACAGCAGTTGTTGCAAAAAAATTGACCAGTGGAGACACGATGGCATTTGAGCTGCAGCTCCTTTACCTTGTTACTGATGCTTTCCACTGCTGCTTTGTATTCTGGAGACTGAGGGTCTGGGTTAGTTAGATTTTCATTGATTATTTTAAAGCTCAATCTGTAGCCCAATTTGGTTGAAGCTTCAGTCAAGACAGGCTTTCTGTTGATAGCTGAGTCTGTGAGGGGGAAACCTAAATAAAAATGGCAGAGTTCATTTAGTTTTGCATTCATTCTATCCCTACCACAAAAGCAATATCGGTATGCCCCTGTTTACATTATATAATGTAACAATGAAATTCTCCAGGAATTTGCATTGATTTAAAGGACGGAATTGCTCCTAGAATGGCAATATCATGCTGAATTGGTTTTATCATAGGGTCAAAACCTACAGAATATTAACAGACCAACGGGGAAGCTCAATTCCCAGTGGAGTGGAGGAATGAGGAGTGATCTCCAAGTGATCCCAAAGTCATGCCTTGATACTGTTCATGGATGCTTACCGTCGACACACAGGCTGTTCTTCTCTAAGCTGTAGTGCCCTAGTTTGGTGACACCCTCTGTCATGATGCTCAGCTCATAATAAACCTTTTCTCTGTCAAACCTGGCAAGGCTGACGTCGTTTTTGTAGCTGCAGACGGCATCTACGCCTGTGTCATCTCTGTCTCTCCCAGACCTAAGTAAAAATGTCAGAAATGTTCTTTAGGACACTGTCAATGCTTACAGAACATCCTGTGTAATTCGAACGACTAGGAATGACAGGCTATCGGTGCAACTGGGCTCCTACATCTTTCGGCAGATTCTCAAGAATTATGGCAATGACATTCAGATACCAAAATGATTTTACCCTCAAGAAGATCATGAATGGACAGGGAGGTGTCACTGGCTTCTGTTTTCTGGCATCAGAACAATTATGATAATGTACATGCAAATTTAAGGTGTATGAGGTGCAAATATAAGGTGTATAAGAGCAGATCAAGAAACGGTTAATTGGACTTTCAGGAATCTTACCTGAATCTCATCACTTTACATCCTGTGTAGGCAGAGCTTATGCTGCTTCTTTTGAAAAGAGGGTCAATCTGTCAAAAAAAAAAAAAAAAAAGTACAATTGAGAACTTGAAAGCATGTCCTGCGTTTCATGCAGGCAGGTTAAGATCACCACCATACCAGAAAATGGGCAGAACTAGAGCCGGACTTACATAATAGTTGATAACTTTCGCTGTGGAAATGAATTTCTGGGAACTTGGTGCCTCCAGATCTGCAGTGTGCTGGAGGTTGGTCAAGGTGAAATTAAGTGTGAAGTGCCTGAATGTTGGGCTTGGCGCAGTAGTTATGCTCAGGGCTATAATCAAAGAGGAGAAGGATTATGATTTTACTGTTTAAAAAAAAGCTATCTTTGCTTTCAAAGACATTCTCAACCCTAGCACACTTCAAGGCTATTCTGAAGCATCTCTTCCCCTCTTATTTTCTGAGTGCATCAATCCTTTGATAGCTTTCCATGGAATGAGCTTGGCAAAACACTTACGTGATCTCTCAAGTGGTTTGTTGTAACCTGAAAAGGAAATGCAAGAGAAACATTATGTAAGAGAACTATACACTTAAGAGAATGAAAGAGGAGAGGAGATGATTAAATGGATGACTTGGGAATGAATCATCCGAACCAGTCCCCGAGGGTGTGAATCTATTAAACAAACAACCTACTGCTTTAAGCAGAACAATGTCCTTATTATAATAGTGAAGGCTACAGGGAGAAAATACGTGTGACACTGTTTAAATGAAATACTGGCGGAATAGAAATCAGGTAAAAATGTTCATATGCAGGTGAATGACTGAGGCCAAGACTAAAATTAAGTCACTCTTCAAAGTAATACAGAAATTAAAATCTTCCAAAATGTCTATGTGAAAATGTTCTTGGAAGCATTCATTTAATCTCATGCGTGTAAGTTGTGCAGTAAACTTCAGTGGGACCACCTTAAGGTAATGATTTTGGGTTTGGTTTGGTTTTTTTTTTAGTATTGAAATGGTCCCTAAGTCCTGACATGGTCCCAAACTGCTCTAGTGTCTGGAGGAATGAGAAAGTCAAGCACTTTACCATTAATATAGAGGCTCTTGCTGTCCAGGTTATAGATTCCTAATTTGGTGATGCTGTTTGTCATGCTCCTTAGTTCTTGGTAAACCTTAGCTTGGTCAAACTTGGGCACTTGGGAGCCATTTCCATAGCTGCAGATGGTGTCTACTCCTGTGTTATCCCTGTTCTTCACTGACCTGAGGAATTGAATATCATGAAGCTTCTGTTAGTTATTCCAAAAATCTAATTTTTTCTGATGTGATTAAAAAAAAAAAAAAACAACAAACCAAAACCATAACTATTAAAATCTGTTCACAGTTCTCAGAAGAACTGCAGAAATTACCGAGGTATGGTATTACAAAGAAAAAGGCTTTGTAAGATAAGGACCATACAAAAGCGCATAGAAGCTTTATTATAATGATACTGGCTTCTTGAAAAAAAAAGGAAAAGAACCGTTATTAAAGTGCCAGTCAAACATAATGAAAACCATTTGCTAAAGCTCAACGTTAATCTTTCAGCTATATTACTCACCTGAATCCTATTACTTTGCAGCCAGTGAAATAGGGGCCAATGCTGCTCTTCCGAAGCAGGCTGGCAATCTGCAAAGGGAAGGTCTTTGTGAGCACGGGAAACCCAAAATAACTGGGTGATTTCGGTGAAAAGCAATGTGACTTCGGCTTACATAATGTTGCATTATTTTCTCGGTAGAATTGAATTTAGCAGAATTTGGCGTCCCTAGGTCTGTTGTGAATCTGAGGTTGGTGATTGTGAAGTTCAGTGTGAATTGCTCTTTTACCGGTCCCGGGCTTTGTGTGGTGGTTGGCTTCGCCACTGTGAGAACGAAAATTGCACAGACAACATAAGAACAGGATCTCTGTAAGACTTAGTACCGTTATTATTTATCTTTACATTTAGAGCAGAAAAACATATTAACGTGATCACACACTTAAGACACTTTGCGATCTTCTGAGCATTGCCAAATCAGCGGGAAACAAAATCAACTTAATGCCTTTGAGTAGCTTTAACGTGTATTTGTTTTTAAATATACTTACATGACGGACCATGCGGTTCATTGTAATCTGAAAAACAAATGGACAATGATTAGGAATATTGTCCCAGAATGTCTCAGCGGGGCTAAACACATGTTTTTTATTACAAAAGGTTCAGGATCGTGGTTACTAAATTCATGACCGTTTTAACTTAATGACTCTGGCAGTTCTTTGCCCTCTACTTTTCGTTAGCTGTTCTGAGAGGTGTGTTTGATCCTCTTCATTCTCATTTCAAAGTAGTCTGTGTAAATGTAAGGGATAACGCCTCGAGGTGGTCTCGTTACCATTAATGTAGAGGCTCTGGCTGTCAAGGCTGTAGTGTCCCAGCTTGGTGATACCACTCGTCATATTGCTCAGCTCTTGGTAAACTACCACTCTGTTGAACCGGGGACCTGAAGGCTCATCTCTGTAGCTGCAGATGGCATCTACTCCCGTGTCACCCCTGTCCTTCTTTGACCTAGGAAACGAGGCATCGGTTTAGGGTGTTTTACCGTTATTGAGAAATCCATCTTAAATTTTAGTATATGACCAAAGAGGTAGATAAGAAAACCACTCAGAGGCATTTACCGCGATGTAAGAAACACCGCTCAGGGATGTGTGGAATGCTGAGAAATAGGAAGCAACTTTCAAAGAAGCAGGTCACGCAGACTTTTCCCAGACATGGCTCTTACCTGAATGCCCTAACTTTGCAGCCAATATAAGCAGGGCCGATGCTGCTTTTCTGGAGTAAAGCGTCAACCTAGAAATTTAATAACAATATTTAAGTAAAATGTCATGGCAAAGGTAGGAGATTAGAGATATTAAAAGAACTGTGCCCAAGCAGGGCGTTTGCCAGACTTACGTAATGGTACATGACTTTTTCTGTTGACTTGAATTTTTTAGAATTTGGCATCATCAGATCTGCAGTGAACTGGAGGTTGGTTAGAGTGAAATTCAGTGTGAAGTTCCTTACTGCTGGTGACAGAGGTTGTGTACTTTGATTGACAGCTGTAATGAGCAAGGCAAATTATTGCTTGAAAATACAGTTTATCATCACCATCATCATCAACCCTAGAGGAAACACTATGAGAAAAATTCTCAGATATTCTAGCTGGCTTCAGGGTTATAGCAACTGCAGCTCCTTAACCGGCACCCAAATTCTCTTAACCCTGCTTTAATAAGTGTAGCAGCGCTGTTGGCTGGTTAGTGTAACCTTCTTTTCTGGCTACTGCTAATTAGCAAAGTCTTCTTGCCCTTTCAGTTGTAATTTAAAGGTACTTACATAGTTTAGGCTGCAGTTCATTGTAACCTGTGGGGGGAAGAAAAAGGACAGCATCTGAGAAACTGGTTTAGATTTTGGGAGGTCTGGCACACCTCCTGGTAGAATACAGAACTTGAATTCTTTTTGTCCGAGAGATCCTGTGTACACATTTACTACGAAAGACTGATTTGATGACTCTCTAGGTATAAACGCCCATTTATACTTTTCTTAGAGATCAGCGCACAGAATTGTCCCATCCCTTGGGATGTTGAGAGGGAATTTATCCATTCCCTAAATCCAATTTAACTTCTACATTGACAATTTAAGTATGACTTTTGTCAAGTGGTGTCCAGTTCTAGCGCTGGTCCTCTGCAGGGGAACACATTCCATGGTTCACCGTGAGAGGTCAAACCTTAAATTTTCTGGAGAATGACCTTTGCTGTATTTGGTTGCTTCATTCAAAGGAATAACAAGGTGCAAAGGCTGAGTGACAGTGGCCTCTCCGCTTTGGTTAGCGTTTGCTCTTGCTCTCTCTCTCTCCGCATTTTATGGATTCTGTAGTTATGTAGTAACTCATTTCCTCCTAAAATCAAATCAGCAGTCGGGAGAGTATTCCCTCCTGACATCAGCTCAGACACTTACCACTAACATAAAAACTTTCTGCATCCAGCCTGTAGGGTCCTAGCTCAGTGCAGCTGGCTGTCATCTTGCTGAGCTCACGATAAACCTTGATTCGGTCAAATTCAGGGGTGGTGGCATTGGTGCTGTATGTGCAGACTGCATCCATGGCAGTGCCCTCTCTGTTCTTCACAGGCCTGAAAAACCACGCACGTTTACAGGGCTGAGTGACATTTCTGTGCATTGCTTGCACGCTACGATGGAATTGGATTTCCCCTTAAAATACTGTGAAATAATGTTATTACATGAACGAAGGCTCTCAGATTCTGGAAATTTAGTATTATGCTGGTTTCTACAATTGGAACAGCACTCTTATGATCTAAATGAAATTCAAAATTGGTGAAATCAGTGCAAGCATAATCAGAAGAAATTATGTAGCGACCACCCCATCACAAGGGATCATAAAGGAGGTGTAATTCTACTCAGGAGTCTGGAATTTTACAGTCTCTACCAGGCTAGGAGGAAACCAAATCAGGAAGGAATTAAATCAAAGGGAAGATTTCTGCACAATCCTGTTGTCAGCCAAAATTTGAATTGCCCTTGTCTTCTATAACACTTCTAGGATGTGCCTACCTTAGTGCCATGATTGCACATCCAGCGTAAGCAGGGCTAATGCTGCTGTTCTTGAGCACATGATCAAGCTGCCAAGAAAAAAAGCCAGTTGAAAAGTCACAGTGAATAAATAATAAAACCAACAAGAACATAGATACAAGAGGAACCTGACTGACACTCACCAAGTACATCAGAGTTTTTTTTGTAGCAATGAAACTTTTAGAATTTGGATTCCCTAACGCCGGTGTGTAACGGAGATTAGTCACAGTGAAGTTCACTGTGAAATGCCCCTCTCTTGCAAGGGGGGGAGATGAAGATGCTGCTGCTGCAAGAAAAGCACAAAATTTGTTGCAACGAGAAAAGAAATATTCATAAACCTGCTAAAGCCACAGATAAAGAAACTCGTGTCAGTTGGAATGGATGGGAACGATACAAGACAGCTCAGTATGGGACGATGGTCCCAGCAAGAGTGTAGAACATGCATATGTGGAGCAGATGAGGGCTCTCCAGCTCATCTAGATGCTAGAGAAGGCCAGTCACAGCTGAGCAGGCTGTAAACAGGTGCCAGACCACTTCATATGAGGAGCTGAGATTAACTCCATCTCTCCTTTTATCCCGGAGTGTACAAAGCCTGATGTCATTTAACCGCACTGGCCTGATGGTCTAGCTTAGCTAACCACAGATTCTTTTCACTTGTTGTGTTGCTGTTGGAAAAGACGGAAATGCATGTGAACACCAGTTACCCGCGAGCCTTCCCGCAGTGCAATACGGGGCTCCTGGAAACGGGTCTCCTCTGACCTCCTATGTAATCCTAAACTAATTCAAATATCTCAGGAGACGTTGATCCCAATGCTGCTGAGTAGTTAAATACGCTTACGGGGTATTTGTCCCTGACACCCAGACCCCTCCAGATGGGACAAGCCCCCCACGAGGCACTTGCTGCCTTCTGAGCCCAGCCCGCTCCTACAAGGGACTCACCGGTCAGGGCTGTCTGTTCGTTGTAACCTGGAAAGAGACAGACAGAGGGTCATGAGCTGTCGCTGGGGATGGGGCAGGGTGGGGAAGGCTGCCCCGGGACAGCCAAGGCGGCAGCGAGAGCAGCATCAGTCACCGTTGACGTAGAGGCTGTCCCTGTCCAGGCGGTAAGGGCCCAGCTGCGTGGTGCCCCTGGTCCTGTTGGTCACTTCGCGGTAAAGGCCCACCCTGTCCAAGGGCGGGGCGGAGGGCTCCTTCCTGTAGGTGCAGACGGCGTCCACCCCCGTGTTGTCCCCTTGCCTCACGGGCCTGGAAAAGACAGAGCCGTGCCTGAGCACCCCTCCTCTGCGTCCTGGCGCTGCGAGGTCACGTTTTGGGGCACCGTGAGCTGTCCCTGCACAGGAGGTAAGCTGGGCCTTCCCAGCCTGTGCGTGTGTGGTGGCCGGTCACTGCTCTCCTGCCCCCACTAACGCCCTGCGGTTGCTGAAGTAGCACGGGGCCAGGCAGCTATTGAGAATAGACCCAGGGCTGGGCTGTCCATGCCCTGAGGTGAGAGAGCTGGCAGCGAGGTCAGGCCATAAGGAATGAGGGCATCAGGCAGGGGACCCCGAGACAGGAGTTTGTCAGGGAGAAGATCCTCCACATTTAGTTTTGGCAGCAGCGGGGCATGGCAGAGTGATAGGAGGCATCATGGGGCCTGAAAAAGGACAGTCACGCAGGAACCGTACCTGAAGGCTGTGGTTTCACACCCGAGGAAAGCGGGGCCAATGCTGCTTTCCTTCAGAAGGCGGTCAAGCTGCCAAGGAGAGAGGGTGCGAGGTTAAACCCAGGGCCTCTCCTTGCACTCCCCCAAGTCGAGGGGGCTACAGGAGCATGGCCATTGCTGTGCGATGGGCCACTTACCAAGGTGACCATGACTCTCCGTGTGGCGTTGAACTTTGCCGAGTTGGGAGTCGCCAGATCGGAAATGTAGGGAAGGTTGGTGGCGGTGAAGTTGATGGTGAAATGCTGGAGGGCTGCAGCGGTCGTTGGTGGGTGGGTGGGAGCTGCAAGAAACACAGATGGGGAGTGACGGGGTGCACGATCCAGGCGGTCAAGGCTCTCTCTGGGTGGACAGAGGCATCGGTCTCCTGACAGCCACCCCCTCATTGCGGCACTCGCATCAGTGAGGAAGGCTGACAGGCTCCCTGCTTCTGCCAGGGATCAGGATTCCTGTCCCCCAGCCACTTCTGCCTGGGACAAGCCCCCCACGAGGCACTTGCTGCCTTCTGAGCCCAGCCCGCTCCTACAAGGGACTCACTGGTCAGGACTGTCTGTTCGTTGTAGCCTGGAATGAGACAGAGAGAGACAGAGAGAGATGGTCATGAGCTGTCGCTGGGGATGGGGCAGGGTGGGGAAGGCTGCCCCGGGACAGCCAAGGCGGCAGCGAGAGCAGCATCAGTCACCGTTGACGTAGAGGCTGTCCCTGTCCAGGCGGTAAGGGCCCAGCTGCGTGGTGCCCCTGGTCCTGTTGGTCACTTCGCGGTAAAGGCCCACCCTGTCCAAGGGCGGGGCGGAGGGCTCCTTCCTGTAGGTGCAGACGGCGTCCACCCCCGTGTTGTCCCCTTGCCTCACGGGCCTGGAAAAGACAGAGCCGTGCCTGAGCACCCCTCCTCTGCGTCCTGGTGCTGCGAGGTCACGTTTTGGGGCACCGTGAGCTGTCCCTGCACAGGAGGTAAGCTGGGCCTTCCCAACCTGTGCGTGTGTGGTGGCCGGTCACTGCTCTCCTGCCCCCACTAACGCCCTGCGGTTGCTGAAGTAGCACGGGGCCAGGCAGCTATTGAGAATAGACCCAGGGCTGGGCTGTCCATGCCCTGAGGTGAGAGAGCTGGCAGCGAGGTCAGGCCATAAGGAATGAGGGCATCAGGCAGGGGACCCCGAGACAGGAGTTTGTCAGGGAGAAGATCCTCCACATTTAGTTTTGGCAGCAGCGGGGCATGGCAGAGTGATAGGAGGCATCATGGGGCCTGAAAAAGGACAGTCACGCAGGAACCGTACCTGAAGGCTGTGGTTTCACACCCGAGGAAAGCGGGGCCAATGCTGCTTTCCTTCAGAAGGCGGTCAAGCTGCCAAGGAGAGAGGGTGCGAGGTTAAACCCAGGGCCTCTCCTTGCACTCCCCCAAGTCGAGGGGGCTACAGGAGCATGGCCATTGCTGTGCGATGGGCCACTTACCAAGGTGACCATGACTCTCCGTGTGGCGTTGAACTTTGCCGAGTTGGGAGTCGCCAGATCGGAACTGTAGGGAAGGTTGGTGGCGGTGAAGTTGATGGTGAAATGCTGGAGGGCTGCAGCGGTCGTTGGTGGGTGGGTGGGAGCTGCAAGAAACACAGATGGGGAGTGACGGGGTGCACGATCCAGGCGGTCAAGGCTCTCTCTGGGTGGACAGAGGCATCGGTCTCCTGACAGCCACCCCCTCATTGCGGCACTCGCATCAGTGAGGAAGGCTGACAGGCTCCCTGCTTCTGCCAGGGATCAGGATTCCTGTCCCCCAGCCACTTCTGCCTGGGACAAGCCCCCCACGAGGCACTTGCTGCCTTCTGAGCCCAGCCCGCTCCTACAAGGGACTCACCGGTCAGGACTGTCTGTTCGTTGTAACCTGGAAAGAGACAGAGAGAGATGGTCATGAGCTGTCGCTGGGGATGGGGCAGGGTGGGGAAGGCTGCCCCGGGACAGCCAAGGCGGCAGCGAGAGCAGCATCAGTCACCGTTGACGTAGAGGCTGTCCCTGTCCAGGCGGTAAGGGCCCAGCTGCGTGGTGCCCCTGGTCCTGTTGGTCACTTCGCGGTAAAGGCCCACCCTGTCCAAGGGCGGGGCGGAGGGCTCCTTCCTGTAGGTGCAGACGGCGTCCACCCCCGTGTTGTCCCCTTGCCTCACGGGCCTGGAAAAGACAGAGCCGTGCCTGAGCACCCCTCCTCTGCGCCCTGGCGCTGCGAGGTCACGTTTTGGGGCACCGTGAGCTGTCCCTGCACAGGAGGTAAGCTGGGCCTTCCCAGCCTGTGCGTGTGTGGTGACGGCCACTGCTCTCCTGCCCCCACTAACGCCCTGGGGTTGCTGGGGAAGCACAAGGCCAGGCAGGTATGGAGAATTCTCTCAGGGATACGCTAGCCATGCCTTGAGGCGAGAGGGCCGGCAGCAAGGTCAGGCCCTGAGACAGAAGAGTATCAGGGAGTGTGCTCTGAGGCAGGAGTTTGTCAGGGAGAAGATCCTCCAGCTTTAGTTCTGGCAGCAGCAGGGCATGGGAGCGTGACAGGTGCCATCATGGGGCCTGAAAAAGGACAGTCACGCAGGAACCGTACCTGAAGGCTGTGGTTTCACACCCGAGGAAAGCGGGGCCAATGCTGCTTTCCTTCAGAAGGCGGTCAAGCTGCCAAGGAGAGAGGGTGCGAGGTTAAACCCAGGGCCTCTCCTTGCACTCCCCCAAGTCGAGGGGGCTACAGGAGCATGGCCATTGCTGTGCGATGGGCCACTTACCAAGGTGACCATGACTCTCCGTGTGGCGTTGAACTTTGCCGAGTTGGGAGTCACCAGATCGGAACTGTAGGGAAGGTTGGTGGCGGTGAAGTTGATGGTGAAATGCTGGAGGGCTGCAGCGGTCATTGGTGGGTGGGTGGGAGCTGCAAGAAACACAGATGGGGAGTGACGGGGTGCACGATCCAGGCGGTCAAGGCTCTCTCTGGGTGGACAGAGGCATCAGATTATTGAAGCCACTCCTCTTATTTTCACCGTTTTTAATGTGTATTGTCACTACCAAAATTTTAATATAAACATTAATTTAATCTTTCTGAGGTCTAACAAATGACATATATTCTTAATTTGGTAATATATTTCTAACTGTAATGTGTTCTTGCACATGATTATATAGGTTCCAAATACTTTTGATAAAAGGATTGTTATATATCATGTTAGTGAATATTAAAATAAAGAGATGTAGGGATCCTCTGTGATGGAGAAGAGGGCACTGTTGATATGGAGGCCTGACTCGCATATTTGAAAACAAGTGGATCTTGTCAGAAGAACAGAGGGGGGTACAGGTGTATTCATACCTTGGGAAGTGATCTGGAGGGACACACTCATTTTCAGAGCCGAGGTGGTGGCAGGAGGTGGGCTTGTCCCAGGAGCAGAGGAGGGTGTTTCTGCAAGGAGCGTGGTGGAAGAGGCTGTTACCACCGTAGCTGTGGTGATGGCAACAGTAGGAGTGGGTGTTCCACCAGTGCTGGAAGTGATTGCGGTGCTTGTTTCAACAGCTGGCGTGGTAGTTTCTGCTCCTGAGGAGAAGAGTGTGGAAGTTGTCTCCAGAGTAGACAGTTGTGTTTGCTTGGAGGAGGCTGAAGGTGTCGTCTCAAGTGTGGTGGTGGACTGGGCAGCCGTGCTGGAGGGTTCCTCCATAGTGGAGAAGGGCACAGTTGTTGCCCCGACGGTTGACTTGCCTGCAGCGGTAGCGATGGAGGCTGTCAGCAGAGTGGAGGGTGGTGGTGGTGTGGGCAGAGTGGAGGAGGTGTTCTCCACAGCCGCGCTCATTTCCATAGCCGAGGTGGTGGCAGGAGGTGGGCTTGTCCCAGGAGCAGAGGAGGGTGTTTCTGCAAGGAGCGTGGTGCGAGAGGCTGTTACCACAGCAGCAGTGGTGATGGCAACATTAGGGGTGGGTGACCCACCAGTGCTGGAAGTGAGTTCAGTGGCTGTTTCAACAGCTGGTGTGCTAGTTTCTCCTCCTAAGGAGAGGAGTGTGGAGGTTGTCTCCAGAGTAGACAATTGTGTTTGCTTGGAGGAGGCTGAAGCTGTCGTCTCAAGAGTGGTTGTGGACTGGGCAGCCGTGCTGGAGGGTTCCTCCGTGGTGGAGAAGAGCACAGTTGTTTCCCCGAAGGTTGATTTGCCTGCACTGGTACCAGTGGAGGCTGTCAAGAGTGTGGAGGTGGGTGGTGGTGTGGTCAGAGTGGAGGAGGTGTTCTCCACAGCCGCGCTCATTATCAGAGCCGAGGTGGTGGCAGGAGGTGGGCTTGTCCCAGGAGCAGAGGAGGGTGTTTCTCCAAGGAGCGTTGTGGAAGAGGCTGTTACCACCGTAGCTGTGGTGATGGCAAGAGTAGGAGTGGGTGTCCCACCAGTGCTGGAATCGACTGCGATGGTTGATTCAACAGCTGGTGTGCTAGTTTCTGCTCCTGAGGAGAGGAGTGTGGAGGTTGTCTCCAGAGTAGACAATTGTGTTTGCTTGGAGGAGGCTGAAGGTGTCGTCTCAAGAGTGGTTGTGGACTGGACAGCCGTGCTGGAGGGTTCCTCCATGGTGGAGAAGAGCACAGTTGTTGCCTCGATGGGTGATTTGCCTTCAGCGGTAGCAGCGGAGACTGTCAGCAGAGTGGAGGTGGGTGGTGGTGTGGTCAGAGTGGAGGAGGTGTTCTCCAAAGCCGAGCTCATTTTCAGAGCCGAGGTGGTGGCAGGAGGTGGGCTTGTCCCAGGAGCAGAGGAGGGTGTTTCTGCAAGGAGCGTGGTGCGAGAGGCTGTTACCTCTGCAGATTTGGTGATGGCAAGAGTAGGAGTGGGTGTCCCACCAGTGCTGGAATTGACTGCGGTGGTTGTTTCAACAACTGCTGGTGTGCTAGTTTCTGCTCCTGAGGAGAGGAGTGTGGAGGTTGTCTCCAGAGTAGACAATTGTGTTTGCTTGGAGGAGGCTGAAGGTGTCGTCTCAAGAGTGGTTGTGGCCTGGGCAGCCGTGCTGGAGGGTTCCTCCATGGTGGAGAAAAGCACAGTTGTTGCCTCGATGGTTGACTTGCCTGCAGTGGTAGCAGTGGAGGCTGTCAGGAGAGTGGAGGTGGGTGGTCGTGTAGTGAGAGTGGAGGAGGTGTTCTCCACAGCCGAGCTCATTTTAAGAGCCAAGGTGGTGGCAGGAGGTGAGCTTGTCCCAGGAGAAGAGGAGGGTGTCCCAGAGTCAGAGGAGGGTGTTTCTGCAAGGAGCGTTGTGGAAGAGGCTGTTACCTCTGCAGATTTGGTGATGGCAACAGCAGGAATGGGTGTTCCACCAGTGCTGGAAGTGACTGCGGTGGTTGTTTCAACAGCTGGTGTGCTAGTTTCTGCTCCTGAGGAGAGGAGTGTGGAGGTTGTCTCCAGAGTAGACAATTGTGTTTGCTTGGAGGAGGCTGAAGGTGTCGTCTCAAGAGTGTTTGTGGCCTGGGCAGCCGGGCTGGAGGGTTCCTCCGTGGTGGAGAAGGGCACAGTTGTTGCCTGGAGGGTTGAATTACCTGTAGCGGTAGCAGTGGAGGCTGTCAGCAGAGTGGATTTGGGTGGTGGTGTGGTCAGAGAGGAGGAGGTGTTCTCCACAGCCGCGCTCATTTTCAGAGCCAAGGTGGTGGCAGGAGGTGGGCTTGTCCCAGAGTCAGAGGAGGGTGTTTCTGCAAGGAGCGTTGTGGAAGAGGCTGTTACCTCTGCAGATTTGGTGATGGCAACAGCAGGAATGGGTGTTCCACCAGTGCTGGAAGTGACTGCGGTGGTTGTTTCAACAGCTGGTGTGCTAGTTTCTGCTCCTGAGGAGAGGAGTGTGGAGGTTGTCTCCAGAGTAGACAATTGTGTTTGCTTGGAGGAGGCTGAAGGTGTCGTCTCAAGAGTGTTTGTGG